ACAGCTTGGGTGGGGCGGGGTCTCAGGGAATCAACAGGGCAGAGCAAACAGCTATGGCTGATCCTCAGCCCTGCCCTAAGGGGCCCCGCGTCTCAGTGTCCCACGGTAATCGCTGCAAGCACCTCTGAGAGAAAGCCGCCCTTGAGTTCCGACTGATGCCGGACAGTCCAGTTTCTCCCTATATGAGTCCCCAGAGACTCTCCCAGAACTGGCGTTCAGAGCAGTCGGGAGTTTGTGACTCTCTCCCAATTGAAAAAGAACCACGTCCTCAGTTTCCAGCCCTTTCTGTATGCACCTCTGTACCTCTGCACTTTACTTCGCACCTCCTCTGAGTCTTAGTGTGCTTTTCTCTTTCCTTCTAATTGTAGAATTTCCACTCAGTCAGCCTTCCTGTAGTTCTGGATGATGTCCGTTTTGTCTTTTGTATTTTTGAAGTGGTTGTGCGAGGCAGCAATTTTAGGTGTTTACCTATGCCACCATCTTGGTTTCTTCCTAAGTCTCTGCTTTAGCTCTTTTATATGTGTACTAGAGGCCCCGTGCACAAATTCATGCATGGGTGGGATCCCTCAGCCTGGCTGGCGATCAGGGACAAGGGGCCAATTGGGCAGGCCGACCAGGGGAGGGACTGCGGAAGGTTGGTTGGCCGCAGGAGGTTGGCTGTGGGATGGCACTGACCACCAGGGGGCAGCTTCTGCTTTGAGCATCTGCCCCCTGGTGGTCAGTGCGCATCATAGCTGTTGTCCAGTCATAACGGTCGCTTAGGCTTTTATATATATAGATATATTGGGTTTCTTGCATAACTATTTGAAAGCTGGTTACAGACATCATGGCACTTTTTCTGTAATATATCAGCAAATAAGAACAAGGATATATCTTTCCTACTCACAATACCATTATCACACAAGACATTTGACAATAAAATTTTCTAATACTTAGTTCGTATTGAATTATCTTCAATTGCCCCCAAAATGTTTTTCGAACTTTTTTTTCTTCTATGGGATTTCAACAAGAATCACACATTAGCCCGGCCAGTATTGCTCAGTGGTTGAACCAGTAGAATACTCAATTGGCAAGAATACTATCATTCTACAGGTGATATCATGCCCTCTGCATATCATATCAGGGGGGACATATCAGTTGTCCCTTTATATTGTTTGATCACTTAGTTTAGGTAGTGTTTGACACATCTCTCCATTGTAAAGCTGGTTTTCCCATTTTTTTAAAAAATATGTTTTATTGATTTTTTACAGAGAGGAAGGGAGAGAGATAGAGAGCTAGAAACATCAATGAGAGAGAAACATCGATCAGCTGCCTCTTGCACATCTCCCACTGGGGATGTGCCCGCAACCCTGGTACATGCCCTTGACTGGAATCGAATCCGGGACACCTCAGTCCGCAGGCCGACGCTCTATCCACTGAGCCAAACCGGTTTCGGCAGGTTTTCCCATTTTTATGAAAATCTGTGGGTTGATCTTTGAGACTGAATATCTTGTTTCCAAAATAAAACATTTTGACTTATTTTTCTTTTCTATTTAAAAAAATTGTGTACTGTTTCAATCATACAAATAACAAACTAATTAACATGCAGGTGCCCACTCTATCTTGTCATATGCCTGAATTGATCAAATCGTAATCATATTTGCTCTGTATCTCTCTATTTCTACCTCTATCTCTCTCTATCTCTGTCTCTCTTGGTAGATAAAACGGAGGCATCAGTGAATTCCCTAATCTTATTCCTTTACTTCCCCTCCCAGAGGTGACCATTGTCAAGAATTCATGGTTGATGTTTGTCATTTGTATATGTGTATTTTTAGGTAGTAAAAGGTACTGTTTTACAGGTTGTTTGTTAATCTTTATGTGTCATACTTATGGGGCAATTTGCAGGTTGCCTTTTTTTGTTCAACATTGTGTTTTTAAAAAATTCCTCATACTTGTTTATTGTAAGTATTGAATAGTAGTATCACATTTAACAAATACCCTAAAACTTATTAACTCTACTGGGGTTGACTAATATACATTAAAGTTCCCAATATTTTGCTATTATAATATTTGGCTGCAATGATGATTATCATATGTGTCTCCTTAGGTCAGACATATGACATGTAAGAGGGCTTCTCTAGATTTTGCAACTAGAAATGGAAATCCTGGGTTGGAGATTCAGAGCTTTAATTTCACTAGACATTGCAATATTTTTCTTCGTGTTTGCACCCATTTATTCCTGCCCATGGAGTGAGAGTTCCTGTTGGTCTACATCAGCAATAATAGTTTCTAAAAAATATATTTTTATTGATTTCTGAGAGGAAGGGAGAGGGGGAGAGAGAAACACCAATGATGAAAGAGAATCAACCATTGATTGGCTGCCTCCTGCATGCCCCCTGGGGTTTGAGCCCACAACCTGGGCATGTGCCCTTGACCAGAATCGACCCTGGGACCCTTAAGTCTGCAGGCTGATGCTCTATCCACTGAGCAAACAAGCCAAGGCAACAAAAACAGTTTCAATTCTCAAAATAGAGGAAGATACAATAAAATTGAGAGGAAGATACAGAGATTTCCCATATACTCCCGATCTCCATAAATGCATAGCCTTCCCCATTATTAACGTCACCAGAGTGGTACATTTTTACTGAAGACCCTATATTGACACATCATATTCACCCAAAGCCCATGGTTTTTTATCTTAGGGTTCACTCTTGGGTGGGGAGTGCATTCTGTAGATTTGGACAAATATATAATGAGTTATATCCATCACTGAAATATACAGAGTATTACTAGTGCGCTAAAAATCTTATGTACTCTGCCTGTTCATGTATCCATACCCCACCCCCTCCCTGGCAACAAATGACCTTTTTATTGTTTCCATAGATTTGTCTTTTCCATAATTTCATATAGTAGGAATCATACAGTATGCAAGCTTTTTAAATTAGCTTCTTTAGTAATAAGCTTCCTCAACTTTTCATTGCATGGTAGCGTTTTTTTTTTTTTAGTGCTGAATAATATTCCAGTGTCTGGATGTACTACAGTTATTATCCACTCACCTACTGAAGGACCTCTTGGTTGTTTCCAAGGTTTGGTAATTATGAACAAAGTTGCTATAAAGACCCCTGTGTAGGTTTTTATGCGAACATAAGTTTCTAACACCTTTGGGTAAACACCAAGGAACAAAATTGCTGCATTATATGGTAAGAGTATGTTTACTTTTGTAAGAAACTACTAAACTGTCTTCCAAAGTGGCTGTACCTTTTTGATTGCCACCAACAATGTGTGGGAGCTCCTGTTGCTCTGCATGCTCCCTAGCATTGGTGTTAGCATTCTGGACTTTGTCCAATCTAATAGGTGTCTAGTGGTTTCTCATTTTGATTTGCATATCCCCAGTTATCAGGCTGATTTTTATTGTTGGGTGTTAAGAGTTTTTTTGTACATTTTATTTTATTTTATATTTTTATTGATTTCAGAGAAGAAGAAATAGGGAGAGAGAGAGAGAGAAACATCAATGATGAGAGGAAATTATTGATTGGCTGCCTCCTGAACGCCCCCTACTGGGGATTGAGCTCGCAACCCGGGCATGTGCCCTTGACTGTAATTGAACCTAGGGCCCTTCATTTTGCAGGCTGACACTCTATCCACTGAGCTAAACCGACTAGGGCTGTACATTTTAGATAACAGTCCTTTATCAGATGTATCTTTTGCAAATATTTTCTTACTCTCTAACTCTCTTGGTATTGTCTTGCAGGGCAGAAGTTTTTAAATTTAATGAAGTTCAGCTTATCAATTTCACACAATAGCTGAGACAAATGGTATGCTAATTTAAACTTAGGATAGTTTTGGCCAAATTGCAATCAAAGAAAGTTTTAACTATTTGTATCCCTATCAATATTATATGGCTATGCCCTTTTCTGCATTCTTTCCAATGCATATGTTATCAAGCTTTTTGATTTTTGGCAATTGGAGGAAAATGGCACCTTATGTTGGTAGTAATTTACATTTCTCTGAGCATGAATGCCACTGAGTATCTTTCCATATATTTGTGCTATTTCTATTTCTTTTTCTCTAAGCTGTTCACGTCCTTTAACTACATTATATTGGATTTTTGGTCTGTTGGTTTGTAGGCACTCTTTATTTAAGGGAAATTAGTCCTTCATCACTTGTTTTACAAACAATATTTTTCATCTATTTTTTCCCCCATACAATTAAAAACAATTTCTTTTGGTCATTGATTTTATCTTTTCTTCTTTGGTTCTGCATTTTGTATCATGCTGGTCATGTGAAAAATCTTCCAATTTGGAGATCATAAAAGAATTTCTCCCTTTCTGCCTAGCAATTTCAATATTTCTTTTGTTTTGCTTTGTTTTGTAAGTTGTTATTGATCTATAACTTATTTTGCACCTGGGGATGGGAACCTCTGCTTCACGCGGTCCACATAAAGGTAAGAAAGATCTAAACCTGGCTGTGCATCAGAATCCCTGGGGTGCTGGTAATAACCCCAGCGATTCCGGGACTGGTGTCTCGGATTCTGAATGTTCCAAACTGTCCAGCCCCACTTGGGACTTGGGACTTCCTTCTGGCTGGCTTTCTCGCCAGTCGGCCAATTCAGGCGACAATTCCCAGGAGCTTCGCCAGGGGGCGCCCGGGCACCGCGAACGGCTTCCGGGTGAGGCAAGGCGAGGAGGGCGGGGCGGGGGGAAAAACCCAAGGCGGGTTCCGCCCCTCGCACCGGGGAGGCTGGAGAGGAACGGCCCACGGAGCTACCACCGCCCTTCGCGCCGTCTTCGCTGACATCATGCTCCAGTTCCTGGTGAGTGGAGCTCGAGAAGCGGGCCGGGGGCTCGGCTCAGGGCCTGGGGGCTCCGGACTCCCGGCGGCCTGGGCCCGGCGGCCTGCGCGTGGGCCCCGCGGTGCCTCCAGTCGCCCCGGGGTGGGCGGCGGGGCTGTGCCTGCCTCGCTCCAACTACTGACCAGTCTTTTTCTGTGCGTTCAAGCCCTGAGCACTTCGAGGCGTCCGAGGACGCCCTTTGAGAGCTCCGTGCTGTCTGCCGCGCCCTGCTCTTCTCGGGTCCTCCTCCTGTTCCCGCTCTTGGGTCCTCAGGACGTTTGGGACTGTCTCCCCTTCTGCTCTCCCGCCCCGAGCAGGACACGCACCCCATCCCGACTGGGGCCTGCTGTTGGCGTTTCTGAGGCTGTGGGAGGCCGGGAATAAACCGAATTCCTCGCGAGGCGGACGCCGGCCCGCGCTGGGGCGCAGGGAGCCCGGGGTGTGTCGGCGCCTGACTCAGGGCGGCGGGCTCCGCCTAAGGCGATTCTCCCACGGGCGCATTGTAGGGGGGCGTGCGTGTGAGCATGAGCAAACTCGGGTTTCCTGCAAAGCTGGAGGCTTCCCATGGCCCCAGGGAGGCTTTGCCCGTCACATTTCCAAGCAAGAGTCGTTCTTCCCAGCCCGTGTGCTTTTAACACGCAATGCTTTCCACCTCTAGCGAGAGGCAGGCATTGCAGCACGTTCCCGGTGGTCACGGAAAGGGGGCTCTCGGGGTGAGATGCTTCCCCGATGTTACATTCCTTATCAAAGAGATGGGGTCGTTGACTTTTTAATCCTCTAGGCCAGAAGGAGGGGGAGCCTTGACAGAAGTGGTCCCCTAAGACAGGGTGCCCCTCTGGCCCCGGACGTGCATCTGTTGAGAGAAGTGGGTAGAATTACTTTTCACCTTGATTTGACTTCCATCCCGTGAGTCCCCCAGCCTCAACTCGGGAAAGTCTTTCTCTCCGCTTTCAGCCATTTCATTTATAAAACAGTGGGCGGAGGTCCCTGGGATCCCTTCTAGCTTTTAGCCTGTGACCAGCCATCATGTCCTCGTGGGTTTGAACCCTCGCTGCAGCCGTGGGAACGTGGGCTGCTCATTGAAGTTTTCCATGCTGCAGTGTCCACAGCGGAAAGTGGAAACCTGCCTCTGGCTTCTTTGTGAGGATTGAACGCGTGAGTTCATACGTTCACGTCCTTACAGCAGTGACACTGAGGAAGGACTCGGACACGTTCCATTTCTCTTTGACAAGGTGTCTAGTTCTGATTTCGTTCCTTCTCGGGAATGGAGATTAGTTTGCCCCCAGAAGTGTAGGCGAAGGGAGAAGTTTTGGCAGGGACAGGGCAGTCACAAGTGAATGTGGGCACTGTCATGGCATATTTTGGAACTCTCCAAGATGGTTCTTGCATTCATCACCTTCTGGGACACTGGACACGGGATTGTGCTGCTCATAAATTGCTTACTCCTCCTTGGATGAAAATACTTGCCCGTCATCCCAATCTGAGACCTGGTTCTGCAGGGCTCTCCTCCCTGTTACTCCAGGAGCTTCCTGGGTTGCAGTGCAGTTTAGCTACAGTTGTTGTAAGGAAACTTTTGAAGCTTTGAAGAGAAGCCTGACGTGGTGGGCGCTGCTTGTGTCCACTGCCGCCTGCACTCTGGCTTTCCTAACCTCTCGGCGTGGGAACACTTTACACTCTCAGCCATCTCCTCTTTACTCCCTTCTTTGCCCTTGGGATCCTGCATCTCAGTACTTCCCGACGTCCTTTCACATTATAACACGCGTGGATTTGTTTGTATGGACGAGTCTGCACAGAGCGACGGCGCCTGGCTCTGGTGCTGGACCTTCCAGGCCTGCGGGGTCCGTGCTTGGACTACCAGAGGGGAAGGCCCTCGTCTCATCTCGGCGGTTTGGACTGGCTGCGGGCCCCTTCTGGGTGCTGGGTGTTTCTCAAGGCTCAATCCCTGACTGCTCTGCTCTCAGACCCACCCTTAGGGGTGTGATCCTTGTCACCTGCACCTCTGTACTGAGAGCTTCCAAAGCTCCTTGAGTCCTTCACTCATGAATTCCAGTTCCCTGTCGCCGTCGCCTACCGAACATCTCTTGTCATATCCTCTGACAGACTCAACACGTCTGGACCCATCACCTGTTCCCCACCCTGCAAACCACACCCAACTTTCTTCTTTGTTCCCTGGTCCTGGCTTTCTAAAATTTGAATTATTGACATAATCTTTTATTTATTTCCCTCCTTCATTCTCCATATCATCTAGCTTAGGGGTGGGGAATGTCCAACCTGCAGGTTGTATAAGGTCCTCGAAATCATTTGCTCTGGCCCTGCCAAAGCATTAACAGTGAGTTAAGTTAGTTAAATGTTTGACCAAATATGGCAGGCTAATTTTTTAACTTGATAATTTTTTATGGCCCATGAATGATGTTATAAATATCCAAGTGGCTCTTGGCAGAGAAAAGGTTCCCCACCTCAGACTCTAGCTGCTATGCCTGGCACCTATTTACCTGCTATATAATCTTGGGCAAGTTATTTAAGTGACCCATGCCTCGGTTTCCCCAATTTAAACTGGACAATAATTGTACCTGCTTTGTACGGTTGTGAAGAGCATGAGTTAATTCATGAAAGAGTTAGAATGCTTCCTTGCACATAGTAAGCACGCAGTAGATGTAGCTGTTGTTGGAAGCCATTGACTCTTCATTACTCATCTTAAGAAAAGTTCTGTCTTCATGTTCCCACTGCCAAGTTCATAGAGCGAGTCTGTTTTACTCTGCCTGTGGACTAGCTACACTAGCCTCGCTGGCGTAGAAATGTAGGTTTTGAGCTGGGAGAGTTAGGTTAGGTTCTCCAGTCCAGCTGCCATGCTGATGCTTCCGTCTCCACTACAGAGACGGCATCCAGCTTACAGTTGGTCGCCTCCAGTTACAGCAGGTTCACTACTGCCACAGGGAATTGCTTTCGTTTTTGGTCAACGTGTCCTTACTTAGTTTTACTCCTGGATGTTAAATAGCAATTCTAATCTGCATGACAACCCTTTGCATATTTGAAGAGCATTGCCTTGATACTTTTCACTATCCCTCACTCGCACCATCAGTCTTTTCCTTAGGTCAGTGGTCGGCAAACCGTGGCTCACGAGCCACATGCGGCTCTTTGGCCCCTTGAGTGTGGCTCTTCCACAAAATACCACGTGTGGGCGCGCATGTACAGTGCGATTGAAACTTCGTGGCCCATGCGCAGACGTCGGTTTTCGGCCTGGGCGAGTCTATTTTGAAGAAGTGGCGTTAGAAGAAGTGGGGGTACGTTCACTGAGGTCAACCCCTCAGATTGAGGACGTTTTTAGCAAAGGCCTGCTTAGGAGTACCCTAATTAAGTTAATAACAATGTACCTACCTATATAGTTTAAGTTTAAAAAATTTGGCTCTCAAAAGAAATTTCAGTTGTACTGTTGATATTTGGCTCTGTTGACTAATGAGTTTGCCGACCACTGCCTTAGGCTAAACATCTCTGTTTCTTTCACCCATTCTTTATGATGTCAGGTTCATGCTGATAAAGTTATCCTTCTGTGAATATTCTAGTTTTGAAATCTTTTTAAAACATACCACTCCTTACGTGCGCTCATCAGCCACAGAAAAAAGCAAGGCTGTTCCTCTAATTCTGTGTATGTTTCCCTTGATGCCCTTGGTTCTGTCCTCTCTTGCAGCTGCCAGTGATCATCCAAAATTTATGGCTTTAGTCACATGCTCAGAAACTGTCAGTAATACCTGTGTCCTTCCACATCAAATCGTAACCACTTTTACTTGATTTTCAAGATCCACTAATCTGGCCCCATTTTCCTTTCCCACTGCCTGTTATTGTACATCCTCTGTGTTAGATCTAGGCCAGTGGTTGGCAAACTCATTAGTCAACAGAACCAAATATCAACAGTACTTCTTCAAAATAGACTCGCCCAGGCCGAAAACCGACTTCTGTGCATGGGCCACGACGTTTCAATCACACTGTACGCGCGCCCGCACGTGGTATTTTGTGGAAGAGCCACATTCAAGGGGCCAAAGATACGCATGTGGCTCGCGAGCCACGGTTTGCCGACCACGGGGCTAGGCTAAACTTACCAACCTATGGGCCATGTGGCCTTCATACCTTCCCACGTGTTTTTTTTTTCTTTTATCCTCTTTTTTGCCTTCCCAAATACTCTTAATGGCCCAACTCCCATCTTTTGTTCACAAGCCTTCTTGATGACTTTTAAGTTTTTGAAATCTATACACTGTTCTGATCCATCTCTCAATTTGCTTAGATCATACATGTCTTTCATCATTTAAAAAAAAATCTTCTAATTAATAGTCTTGCCCCTGGTTTGTTATATTTATTTCTAAGTACTTTTGAGGTTTTTTATTTTATTTTATTGTGAGTGGCATTCATTTTAAAATTACATTTTCACATTGTTGCTTATTTATGGAAATGCTATAATTTTGTGGTATTAATTTCTGTGTCTAGCAATCTTGCCTTTAGCTCCAGTAGTTTGTCTATAGATTCACTTGGAAGTGAATCAGGGAAGGCAATACTGTGAAGGCAGTCATATATCCAGTGAAGGCAAAAATGACAGTTTTGTATTCTTATTTCCCTCCCCTCCTCAAGCTAGGACTTCCAGTAGAAGTAGTGAGAGTGGATATCATACCTTTGTTTCTCCTTGTAGTAGAACTGTTTCTCGGGTTTTGATGTGATGTTTGTTGTTTCTGATATTTTCTTACAGATTCCTCTTCTATTTCTACTTTAAGGTTTTCTTGTGATTGGCTGCTGACTTTTACCATGCTCTTTCCTCACCTGGTGATCGTATGGTTTTTCTTCTTTAATACATTAATATGAATTACATTAGGTTTTTAACACAAAGCACTTAACCAGGTGGCCTATTCAGACCATCATGTGGTAACATGCTGTTTTGTTCACTGCACCTTCATGTAGTTTAGTCTTGTCTTCCTAGAATAGATCATACGTTCCATGGG